AGCAGGATGTGCTCTGAAAAATAGGGCTCCCCGAAACCAAATGGGTAATTCGAAAACTGACAGAGCTCCCTCTATACAAATCAAACTGTAGACGGTGTGAAAGCACCTATTGTTTTAAATAATGGTCGGAATGTGACCTGTGAGCCTTCTGAATTACCGTGGGACAGCACATTCTAAACTAAAATGTTCAATCAATAAAGTAACATATCTTATCTTAATAATATCTTCATATTAATAATAATAATAAATCATACAGTATGTGTCCGAAAGGGAGCAGGAGGAAGCAAACACAAAGATATACTGCATATTAAAGCAAACGATTGTAAAGGTTAAAGTATGAGCATAACAAATAAAGAAGTGTAATGTAAACATTTACATTATAATTACGATTATTTAATATATAAAGACTATATATTATTGAATTACAAGATTAGATATACTTTAGTTGATCTAAAATATTGATGTGTTCAAATGCTCTTCAAAACACAACTGAAAGTCCATGAAACTTGTCTTTCTGTATTTGTGAATGAAGCGCCATCTCCTGGTTAAAACCTGAAATTGAAAATCTGGCAACGCCCTCTTGGAAAATAGTGGGAGGGCTTAACATTCCTCTATACTGGTCTTTGGCAGGTGGTAGGCAGGAAGCTGTAAGCTGGAGTCTGAAATTCAGTGCTCCATCTGTACATACAATTTTGAGCAAAATGTAGTGAGGAACTGAAAGATGTAACAATTCCAGAAACATCATATCTGATCTTTAATAATAGTATTTGTTCTCTTTACTTACTTGAGATATATTTGGCAAAGCAGAGTACTTAATAATTATTATATTCTAGTGTAAGGTCCACCTTCTAGAAGGTGATTTTTTCTGTTCAGGGAATCAATATGTAGTCCTGACACACATTATTTTGATTATGAGAGGGCTAACTTTAAATTGAAAATGATTTCGAAGAGGGTCAGATATTCATTAATAGTATGTTGCTTGAGTATGTGTTTGTGTGATGCTATATATTTGTACCAATAACCATTAACATTAAATAAAGGCCATGATGGTGATATACAGTACATCAGAAAGGCCATGCACGTTTGCACTGGACAGTAATGTTGCACTAGGGGTCGCAGAAGAGACGTATGAAAGCACACTTAAGCTATGAATACACAAACAAAGAACATAGAACATACATTCCCCAAACTTAGTGCAGAAAATGGAAAGAAAAGAGAAGTTGGGTGGGAAGATATGACATCAGTCAGAGTGAAAATGAGGTCATGTTGTAGCAGAAGGCAAAAGGGAGCTAAGGCAAAAGAAGAAGAAATACATACAACATTGAAAAAAAAGGATTGGAAAAGTTTAGGAGAATGAAGAAAGGTCACAATATGGACAAGGATATGACATTAACACATTATTAGCCAATGTCTGGGACAAACATTATTGTTACTAGCAGGCTGTAAACTGTCAGGTACTATCTTAACTTTCCCCTCGGACTTCTTTCTCTTCTCTCCTTTAATCCTCTCTCTTTTTATTTCCATCATCTCTATGCGCTTAATGTGCTTTACTTGGTATCACTTTTGTCATAAAGACTGGCTCATTGTGCGCAATTTCACAAGAAATCTTGACTTACATTATCCCGTAATAAGATATGCAAGAATCACTGTTGAAATTAGACGCCTCTTGTTAGAAGAAGGATTGCTAAAATATGACAAAATATGTGAAGAGGATCAGTTTCTTGATGCTGCTGTAGAGATTTGTATATTTTCATGGCTCTGGTTGTAACTGCCTGGAGAAACCTCTGCCACAACAGGGACTGTTGTTAACTGCCTCAGTTAATAAATAACCAACTATTCATTACCATGAATTCAGTCAAAGAAACAAAACACAAATGGTTGGATTTCTTGTTTCTTGACACCCATAAACACACATTTGTTTAAATGAAAACAAGAGAAACGCAAACTGCCAATGACGAGACTGGTGTTTGTATTGATGGTCTGATTCTGTAGGAAAACCTGTGCTACACTTATTATTTTCTTAAAGACCCTTTTGAGTAATGAAAAAGGTGTGCCTCAAAGTGTGGTCAAACTGAGGACTGAGTTGGCAGAGGCTAGCACGCACAAATGATTACAAAAATACCTTTGCACCAGTGGATGTGGAGGGATCTAAAAATAGCTCACAATACACAGTCAAGGACTACAAAATAAGGATTTCCAGGAGATTTTCAGGAAAGGGAAGAAGAGCAAAGGTGAGGAGGAAGAGGGGGCTGGGGGTTTCATTTAAATCAAAAGAACAGATGAGGCCAGTTTTTTTGCCTGTGATCGAAACAAAAAAAGAGCGTAGAGGTGCTGGTACCACACTAAAAAAATAGAAGCAGGGGTTGAAAAGCAAAAACACAGCCTTTCAGATGTTGGGACGATTGGTTTGTTTTGCTGACTTGTCGAGCAGCCAGAGGGGAAGATCAGAGAGTTGAAGAGGCGATGGGGTGAGGTACGCAGAGAAAGAATGTTTGACCTGTTTACAACATACCACCTACTCACACAAAATCAGGAAAAGGCTGAACCTGTAGAACAACAGCAAATCTATTCTCATGAGAGCGAGACCCTTTATTCTTGGAAAGAATGAAATGGGAGCTACAGATCTAATTTTACCTTCCTGAAAACAACATCCAAATTAGAGCGGATTCCTGTGTGAACTCTGCTCCGATGACCTGTGGTGAACCACACTGACACTGTACAGCATCCCTCACTCTGTTTGACAGCTGATCAGCCTCACGAGGCCGTGTTTTAGGTCATCCTAAAATATTTCAATTATGTTGTGCCTCCTAACTTTAGTAAAACATGATACAAATATTAAAGTTTCTTTTTTTAAAAATAATCTAAATACAAAAAACGTTTCCTTATTAATAGATATGTCAATCATCAAAAACTGCAAAGTTCCTGAGCAGTGCTTTGGCGAAGCTAGCTAGCTTATGCTACTTCTTGTGCAGAATCTACCCTGTTATTGTTGCAGAGATAGTAACTAGTTACTAGTTTGTCCTGGAGCTTTAATTGTACAGTATCACATGATCTACATTAGCAAATTAAGTTTGTTCAGTAGAGGTCAGTAGGACTGCTGTTTTCCTGCATTGGTGCAATCTGGTAAGAAACATATGACATATGTAACTGGTTTAGGGGTTGATTGTGTTTACCTTGAGCCACTCCTCTGCCTGCTCCTTGCTCTGCACAGCCAGAACCAGTGCATCCGCCCCCTGGTGGACTATCTTAAGTTCATGCTTCTTCTTTTTGCCATCTTTCGGAATGTGAGTGATGCTACACCCATACAGAGTCAGTTCCATCTGGGGGGTCTGGTCTTTGGAGGACTTGTAACACTGAAGGCAGAGAAAGGGGGCAAACATGATGCTCTAATGTTTTCGCAGTCATTATTTCGAGAATAACTGTTACGCTATTTGCATAAATTCACACATTTGTACCTAGATCACCTGTAGAAAGTGTGCTTCGCTTGGCTAATATGAACAGAGGAGTCCCTTACCAGCAGTTTGTTCTCTTTGATGACACAGAGCAGTTTGGTCCACTGTCCAAAGCGCTTCTTGCGCAGCAGGAATGCACAGATCCGAGCGTCCTTCACCAGATCCATGGACGCCTCTGCAGATGGCCACTGGTGACGCATCTTCTGGCCCTTTCCATCCTCCTCTTCCTCATCATACGACTCATAAGAGCTGCTCATGGCGTCCGAGTCATAGTCTGAAAGGGAGGGGCAGAAGGCACAAGGAAATGCCTCATTATTTTTCATATTCTGCCTTTAACTGCCTTTAATTAAATGACCCTAAAAAATAAAACTTGAGAAAATATGTAAATGCTTGTTTTGTAGTTTGTGCATGTACGTATGGCTAGGTGGAGTAAATGGTAGGTATTAATGATGTGTATTGTAAATCAGTGTTCCACTCACTGGCTGTGATGTATTCGGGAGCTTTTCCAGGACTTAAAGGAACTGCTTCCTCATAGTAGCCTTCTGGTAGAGAGGAGCTGGGCAGAGGGGGGGGGGCGGTGTTTGGAGGCTGCAGAGAGAACAGAAGCGTCCATTGATTAGAGGGAAGTTCCAGTATTAAGCATATCAAATTAAAATGACACTGACAGCTTTCATCATTACTCACACACAAAATTTCACAAGCAAATAATTAACAGTTTAGAAATGGTCTTAACTAATTTAAATATGTTTTGCTCTACTCATTTATTCTATTTATTTTATTCCTATTTGTCATGCAACAGACTACATCTTCACAAACCTCAGGTCATATGCCCCCTGTTTGGGTTGCTAAGGTTTTGGCAGCAGAATTAAAGTTTGTCCTTGAGTTTTTTTAGTAAATAGTTATCAAACATTTAGATACAAGTGGAAACATCTTAATAAGTCCTCCATCCGTCACTGCATCTTCCACTGATGGTGTCTATATATTCTTTATGCTTTGGGACAGTTTTCAGAATTAAAACACAGGTAAGTCTAAATATGATATATCAGTTAACTGAAGTGATGCTCCAAATGATTTGGCGCCTCTAATTTGATTTGGCGCAGTGCTCTCGCCCCAGCCTTCATTTAGTTCATGTGTTTTCAAGTGATAGTGTGCTTTACCATGGTCATATAGTGCTGTGGTGTTGTGTTGTGTTGTTTAGGGCTGTATTTTATGTCACCTTTTTTCTGGGTTAGGGTTACATTACATAAATTACATAATCAAATAAATGAGATGGTCCAGTTCTCTTGGCCAGCACTGTGAATCTTAAATCAAACTTTCCTTAAAGGTGGGGTAGGTAAGTTTGAGAAACCGGCTCGAGATACACTTTTTGTTATATTCCATGGAATGCTCTTAACATCCCGATAGCAATGAATATCTTAAGTGCATTGACAAAAAATCCATAAAAAAATGTCATCTGTGGAAGCCGTAGTACTGTAAAAAGCACGACCAATAATTTTAACCGGCCCGGCTAAAATAACTGGATGGTCTACCTGCCTGTCAGCCTTCCATCTGTGCACAAACTTATCTCGTGCCCTCATTGGTCATGTTCGTGTGTGTTGGGGGAGGGGCTCTATAAGGAAGTGGCAGATGTTCTCCGGTCGTGTATTTTCAAATTCTAGCGATCTCGTGCCGGTTTCTCAAACTTACATACCCTACCTTTAAATAAAGTGAATGTGAAGCATCATATGATACTAATTAATCCCAGAACTTCGTATACAAGGTATTTCTCATTCACTGAGCCAAATGGAAAGGTCCTTCTTCATATTTCTCTTGTCACAGTCCAAAAAAATCCCCTCTCATACACTTCATAATACTACATCATCATGCTCATGTTTCTCTTTTTTCACCTATGAGTCAAGTGACAGGCTAGGCCCAGAAACCTTATTTTCATTTCCTTTGGGGGAGACTCTTGGAATGCATATGCTGCCCTGCTTCACTCCAAAGTCGCCAAATCTTTCTCCCAGCCCACCCTTAAAAACAAATGAAAAAAATCCCCAGGAGAGGAAATCAGAGGGAAAAAAAGGCAGGGAAAAGAAGAAGAGCGGTCAGACTCCACTGTCATCCAGTATGGCACAATATCAGTGTGAGAGGTGGATGTGTTTGTGTTGGTGGGGGCTCATTGTTGATATGAGGACCGCAGCTTCATATCTCACCTCCCATTCACTTCCTTTCCATGATTTTAAAGCAAAAATACAATTTATCAGGGATAATTGAAATGTTTCCGTAAGCCTTTTTTGCTTGTCTAGGGCATAATACATTACACCTAAAAAAAAATGGCTCGCTATTTAATGACCCAGACTTTAAAGGCACTGGGGTGAGGCGAGAATGTGTGCATACTTATATACAGACAGCATATAAACACAGACGGAATTTCCCTTTGCTTTCTCTACCAAAACGTCACACAGTGTGCTGCAAAAGTCTGAGCAGAGATTTCTTCAGTTTCGATGTGTTCCGCTCGCTGCTGCGCACAAACTACACAAATGCTATGGTTTGGGAACGCAGATCTCCAAACCATCTGTGGCCTATCCTCATACGATAATATATTTGTATGTACTGATCTAGACTGGGGTTCTCTTCATCTACTAACAATTAGTTAAATTAATTTTTTGATTTAAATCCTTGTGGGAAGCCCCAGCATACACATGACAACAGCTCTACGTCACTTCCTGGCGTAATTACTGCCCCGCTCACTTCCTGTGAAAACAAGGCATCGGTGCCAAGCGGGAAAAATACTTTCATAATCCCTAAAAGCTGCTGTGTCATGATTTGCCAATAAAACAGGCTCCCAATACAGGACGAGATCATAACCGATGGTGAGTCAATACATGTGCGTCTGTGGGAAACACTTCATCACAGCTACCTGGCGATGATAATTAGGCTAATGCCAATTATCAAAGTAAACATTTTTAATGTTAAAAGTCAAAGTAGTGAGTGTAGATGCTGCATGGTCCGGCCCTCTATAAGGACCCATCAAACCAACTGCCAGGTAATCCTCCAAATTTCACATCAGCAGATGCACATACACTATCCACTCACTGATCTCACTCACATCATACTGTTTGTGTTTGTTAGAGGGCTGCTTTTGCAGACAAGTTATGAGTTTGATAATGTCATCTCATTTCATCACACACATAGGACCACAATGGAAACAAGTCCACAGGAATTATGTATGTTATCCTTTTAGCCCAAATGTGTGACTGTACCTTGTGCTGTTTGCGTTTCTGTCTAATAAAGTATTCAATCAATCAATCAATCAATCAATCACTGATGATGTGAAGAAGATACTTAAAGGGGTGCTTTTAAGTTAGTTATTGCTAAAGTGACTCAACACCGGTCTTATTCCCAGTCTCATACTGACATGTTGGTGTTGGGAATGAGAACATATTGCATCAATCTTTCTC